TAGGTGTTATCATAAAACCTTCTTTAACTTTGAGATATTATCAAAGAAACCTCATTTGCTCTGATATTTTATCAAAAAACCCGCATAAAAGCAGCATTTTAAAAAAGGGGGGTAAGCATCACTTTTTTGGGGGGTGAGGGTGGGGTGGGTTCTGATTAAAATCTCAAACTTAAATGAGTTTTCTGATAACCTCTAAATGTAGGGGGGTTCTGATAACCCCTAGACTTAAGGGGAAATTTCTGATATTCAAAGTTAAAGGGGGTTATCTGATAATCACCCAAAGTTAAGGTGTTTTTTTTCTTATATTTAGCCATTTTTTCACATTTCGAAAGATAATCCTAAAGCCTGGATATTTTTCTAATCTATCAAAACTTTTTTTTTAAAATTTTTCATTTTGCCTTTATAGGGACACAAAGCGCCTAGGTGGTTAACTTGCAACCTTTCAAGGGGCTAGCAAAAATACGGCCCAGATAACTAGCGGGAATGATGACAGCCCATATGTTAGCTCACTGGCCATAGCTATAACCTCTCAGCATACAAATGGCCGAGTTGCTTTTTATAAGCTAAAAGTAATAAGACCTCAAGTTGTATTGAAGCTCCATTAGCGATAATTTGCAGCTATATGAATCATCATATTCATATCATATCATATCATACTTCCTTTTAAAAGCACGATTTCAAAAAAATCTTTTCATAGTCAATATTATCTTTCACTATTTTGAACATTTTATTTATATCTTAATCTATCCTAATTATAATTATATCATATCCTAATCTTAAGTGAACTATCTATAGCACAACAATTTAAAAAATATTAATAAAATATATAAAACAGCTTTTACAATATTAGTTTGTTAAGATAAAAAAATTATATGTAGCTAATATACTATAATACATGAAGTATTGCCAAAAAAACCTAAAAAAATTAAAATTGCACAAAATACCCTAAAAAGTTCAAAATTATAAAAAATATCTTAAAGTTTCAAAACTTAAAACAACAAACATTAATCAAGAAATTAATAGCAGTCTATGTATAATCAAAAATTTACAGTTAACACTTGAATGTCTCAAAAATCATAGAAACAAACCACCATAAAATTTTAAAATTTTAAAATTTGCAAATAACAAAAGATGAACAAACTTTAGTTAGGAAAAATATCAAAAAAATACTTAATCATGGTATCTAACCACATGCATTGCACGTATATAAAACCTAGTAGTAAAAAAAAAAAACCAATAACCTAGGTTTAACTTTATACCATAATTCATAATGCCTAGTAGTAAAAAAAAAACCAATAACCTAGGTTTAACTTTATACCATAATTCATAATGTTCACTTTATAATTAATATTGTCAGGTCTACAGTGGAAAGACGTATAAATCCCTCAGCTCTCACAAAATCACCCATTTAACTTTTTATTATTATTTTTGTTCATTGTTAACAAATAATGGATATGTTCTTTAGTATTTTTTTTCTTTTTTCTTTTTCACATGACCTGCTAGACTTGACTTAAAATAGTTCACTGGATTATCTCTAAAACGATGAACGTCATATATACCCAGACCATAATATATGGATAAATAAATGTACTTTATATTTAATAACTATGATATTTGAACATGATAACTCTTAAACTTTGAAGTGCATTTTATCCCAAAAAAAAAAAATTAAACTATTGCAAATTTGAACTCGCAGTTCATTTAATCTAATATTAATCGATGCTAAATGTTGATGTTCCCTAACGGAGAGAACAACCATTAAGATTCAAACCTCCAATTGTTAAAACAACTACGTTACTTCCTACGAGACAAATGTCAATTTAAGAACTCTTTATTTAATTTCGCGTAAATATTCTCTGTTTTTCCTCTTTGGAATTTTGGGTGTAAAATATTTCCAATCCTGGCAAGTTTTTGAGTCACCTTCGCGTACCAGTGTCAAAACGACCACCTCGTACGCTCACCGGCCGGTGACCGAACCCAACTCCGAATTCATAACGGAAAGAAACCGCGACCTCAGACACGCATTGACCAAACCGCCCCTGTTCCCGAATCCTCATTCTCATTGCCACTCGACAGTGGCATCTTCGTTACAAGTCACAAACCTCAAGCCCATTTAATTTCAAACCGTACCACAAACTCGTGTCCCCGGGCCCACGCACGTAACAGAATCGCACCTCGCACGTGCCAGAATCTGCCGTTCCCTCTCCCCTATTTAAACCCTCCCCCCTTCCGTCCATTTCCGTTTCGGCGTTTCCTCGGCCACCTTCGAAACCTCTCGGATTAGGGTTTGGATTAGGGCTTTTCCGGGCAATGGCGATGGCGAGCCCGTCCCTTCCCTCTCCGCAGCTCTCTCCGCCTCAGATGTCGCCCATGGGGCCGCCGCCGGTGGGGGTTTTCTCCGGTGCCTCGCTCTACGTCGGCGATCTCGATGTCTCCTTGGACGACGCGCAGCTTTACGATTATTTTAATCAGTTCGTGCCGGTCGTGTCGGTTCGGATTCCTAGGGATCAAGTCACAGGGGAGTCGCTTGGTTATGGTTACGTTAACTTTCATAATCATCAAGACGGTAACAAAGATTTTATTTATTTTTAATTGCTCTTATTGAATTGATTTTTTAGTTAGTTGTAGGATTTATTAATTGTGAATTTTTTTAATTTACATCCAAATACAGGAGGCAATTTATGATCTTCTTGCACTGTAATTTAGAAGGGCAGGGAAAATATTGATGTGAAATTTTAATTTAATTGGAGTCCAGGGTAAAAGAAAGATTTCGTGCGGTCTTGGCATTTTAAAGCTTGTCATAGGAAAAAATATGGAGAAAATTGGGTCTTTAGAATTTACGAATGGCGAAACCCATTGATCTACAGAATATTATTATGCCAGCATTAGTAATTCCATTACAGAGAGGAATGTTGGGAATTTACGCCGAAACCCATAAGCAGCAGAAAAACACAGTATAGAGAAAATACATCAAGATTTAACGAGGTTCGGCAACTGTCTACGTCCTCGGGAGTCATACAATACATTTCTTATTAATCAACAAGAAATTACAAAGTAAGAGCACATCTCAAACTGAGATCTCTCAATAAATACAACATTGTAGCTACAGTGACAATCCCTTTATATAATCAATAGTTCTTTCTCTCTTTAAATCCCCTTCTTTTACTTTTCCTTTCTACCCCCCCTCAAACGTTGTTGAGGAGCTGGAGAGCAAGAAGAGAGAGAGAGAGCGAAGAGAGAACTCCGCCGTCGCCGCCGGGAATCACGACGAGGAGAGGA